TTTATAAATTCAAAACATGTAAAAACCTCGGGTTGATTTACCAAACGTAGTTTTAACAGTAGTTGGAAAAGGTAAACATGCAACCAAATATTTTTTATTCTTATATTGATTCATTTTATACCTGTAGTTTTAATAAACGTGGGTAAAAATATATAGATTTTAAAAACCACTATTTCATTGGTTTTCCTTTTGATCCATTCTAATAATTGCATTTGGCTTTTATAAATTATTGTATGGGACAAGCACGTGTTGGGAGCATGGAGGATAAAGATGCGGTCCCACGAGCTCTGGGTTCAGTATCCAATGGGGTCACGGATGGAAAGCGTTGGATTTTATATTCAGCTCTTATAGATGCGCTTGTAGAATTTGGATTTTGCGCAAGAATGCACGACGGTTGTTGCATAATAATTTATTGTAAATACTTTTGTTTATTCCGTCTCTAAAGCTCGGTGAGACACTTTTAGAATTATACACCACGACAACAAAAGTTTTCATTTAAAACCCCGTTTAATTTCTTTAACAGTTTTCCTCGTCTTTAGCACAAAAGTCACGTTGCAGCCTGACCTCGTTTCAGAGGTGGGTATATCGTTGGTAAACTATACGGAATCATAGTGTTGGAGTTGGAGCACGCAGCTGCAGCTGCAGCTTCTTCCACGTTGTGGCTGCACAAGTGTGTGCTTGCAGTCCGTCGTTTCTATTCACAGTCTCCCCTTCTCTCCCTCTCTCTTTCCCCCTGCCTGTGTCCCCTGAGACCCGCAGGAACACGGGTCACATATTCACTCGCACAGAAAGGGAGAGGCAGGCAGTCCAACAGAAACAAACTGAAGAAATTACTGGCACTATATTTAAATAAGACGCTTTAATCACAAAAAATAACAACGATTTCCTTCAATTGGTTTGCATGTAGAATGTTTTTTTGCTGCTTTGACAACAACAGATATATAAATTATACATGTTAGTACTAGATTTGGCACCAACATGTAGGAGCGCACGGCGGCGTGAAGACCGGATTTGTGGAAGTGGATTTATGCGTAAAAGCTCAGAGATTAAAGATACTCGCAGTTTTGACTGATTTTAGTCTTCGACGGTGTGTGTTCGTGTGTGTGTCTGTGTGAACCGTTTACGGTAAAATAGTCTGCGTTTTTTTTTATTTAATTAAAAACTAAATTGCCCAGACCCCCACCCCCCTCCACACCCCCCCCCCCCCCACCCCCACTC